TATAGAAATTTAAGCTGGAATTAAAGTAGCTATAATTTTATATAATAAAAATTATATTAAAATAAAAAGTTATCTCTTTTTAAATACTATAACTTACTTAAGTTTTTATATTTAATATAGCTTGTATATAATACTTATTAGCTACTTTAATAGTAAAAAGAAATAAAAATAATACCTAACTTATTAACTTATCCTAGGGGATTTATATAGAAAGTTATTATATAAATATCTTAGCTAGTTAGCCTAAACCTATATTAAATTATATATATAAGGTTAGATTAACCTAAGGCTTATATCTTCTAGTAGGAAAGTATTTTATAAAATTAAATATTAAGTTAGTTATAGAAAAGTTTACTAGTAAGATATTAATAAAGCCTATAGCAGCTCGATATTTAAAGGAGGTTAAAGATAGAAGTTAGATAAGAGTTATAGTAATAGTAAAAATAAACTTAAATAAATCTCTTAAAATTAAAGGTAAAGAAAAAGCAGACTCTTAAGCTATCTAGAGTCCTACTAGCCTTTTTAATATTCTACTTAAATTTCTAAAAAATTAAAAAACTAATAATTTCTTCCTTTAGTATAGATTTCTTCTCTTTTTTTTAATTTAATTTAGGTTATCCTAAAGATATCCCTATTAGTAACTAACTAGCTTAAGTATTTCTAATTACTTATTATATTCCTCTTTTACAGTTTAATAATTATTTCTAATTAAGCTAGAAATATATATAATATAATAGTCTTTCTATTTAAAATTCTAACTAAATAATATAATAAGTATTAAAGAAGTATTTTATTAGAAGCTTTTAAAGATTAATTTCTTTTATTAATAAAGATTTTCTACTCTATAAGCTTCTTTATTTATAATTATTTTAATTTACTAAAGAAAGTAGAATAGTATATTAAATAACTATTACTTATAAGTTTTATACTAATAGTAATATTTCTTCTAATTAATTTTTATAATAGTAGGAGGGATAATATCTATATAAATAGTATTAATTAGCTTTTCTTATTAAAAAAGAGAAATTAAATCTTCTAGAATATAAGTTATATAGATCTTAGATTTAAGTATAAATAATATAAGTTATTTAAAAATATAAGAGAGATTTATTTAATTAGTATTAATAGTTATCTTTTTTATATCTTTATTAATAAAGATATTATTATACTTTTTTTATTCTTTAAGAATAATATTATTATTAAAGTAGTAAAAAGCAGCTTTATTAATAAATTAAATAGTAAAAATAGTTAGAATTCTATAAGATCTAGCTACTTAATAATAAGATAAATTAGATAAGAAATCTCTTATTAATATATTTAACTTAGTAGGCTAATAAGAGCTTAAGCTTTAGATATCCCTCTTAAATTAGAATATAAATAGCAACTTTAAAGATAGTAATAGCAAGGCTTTAATCTTTCTAACTCCTTTTATTAGGAAAGATATTACTTCTCTTCTTATTTCTCTAGAATATTTAAAGAACTTAATAGTAAAAAAAGCTCTACTAAATATTATTCTTATCTTCTTAATACCCCTAGATAGTACTATAGGTATAATTTTAAATAAAAGCTTAAAAGCTATTAGCAATTTCTCTAAAATAGTTAAGTCTAGAGAGATAATACTTCTTCCTATAATTCCAGGTAGCTTAGAAATCCCCTTCTAAATTTTAAATCCCCTCTTCTTAAATATCTTAATAAGATTATTAAGTATAGTAAACTTAACCTTTAATAATCTAATTTAAATATTAAAAAAGAGTAAAATACCTAATTAAAAAAAATAGTAAAATAAGAGATAATTTAATAAGTATTAAAAAGTTTCTTAAAGTTAAGATTCTTCTAGCTAATTAGAAAGAATCTACTAAAATTAGTATAGAAATTTAATATTTTAAGTTTTTAGTTAGTAAATATAAACTTATACTTATAATTATTGTTAGAGGTTATGAGGCAGTGGAAGAATAGGATTAATTATAAATAAAGAGATATCCTTATAAAGGATATAGAGATAAGAGATAAGGGATAATAGTGTAAAATAGTGTATAATAGTATATAATAGTGTATAATAGTGTATATTGTATTGATGATGATAATAATTTTTTAAAAGTTCAGAATTTACCAGAGGGTCTCTAGCTTTTTATAGACAATTTCTCAAAGTCTAGCTATTGTAGCTAGACAATAAGTATACTATTAAAAAGCCCAAAAAAGCGGCTTTTTAGTGGTACTATTATTGTCATCTAATATTCAGAAGATTCTGAGTAATTCTGCTTTGAAATCAAGTCTCTGCTTTGAAATCAAAGGTGGTTTGATTTGAAATCATCAAAGATATAGAGACATATTGTATACTATAAAAAAGCCTAAAAAAGCAGCCTTTTTCTAGTATAATCTTTGTACCTAAAATGCTTATACTTTCCGAAGCATCCGGATTGTAAGTTAAAATAATTTGGAATTAAAAATGATTCCAAATAAAAGTGGGGCTATTATCTTTTCTATACAGTATAAATAGTATAATTAATACTGTATTTATACTGTATTTTAGTGCTATTTATACAGTATAAATAGTACTATTAATACTGTATTATATTTATTTATAGATTTAATTAAGATTTAATTCTTAAGGTTAAAGATATATATTTATATATTTATTTAGTCTTTAACAATCTACCTTAAAGTTCTATTTATATTTATTTTATTTAATAGTTAAATATTTAATTCTTTATTATAAATAAAATCTTAGTTAAGTACTATTTATAGTAGTAAATTTAGAAGGCTTAGCTTAAATTTAATTATAGATATAGCTAAATAGTTAAAAAACTAGTTAAAAATATTATAAATCTAGCTATTAAAGAAGTTACTTAAATATATTACTTTTATATACTTTTAAAAATATAATTATACTAAAGCCGGATTTTATCTTAAAAAGAGCTAAATATACTCTCTTATATTTATTATTTATAATAAAGCTAAAAGAAATTAATAGCCTAAGTTAGCTATATTATAACTACTTAAATTATATAGAAGATTTATAATAAAACTTAGAGTATATATAGTAATAACTACCTGGGCTTTAAATCTAAATAAATACTAAGAGAATTATCTTATTAAAAAATAGTATATAAGTTTTTACTCTTTAAGAATAGTTAATTTAAATTTATCTTTTAATACCTCTTTAACTATTAAAATCCACTAACTTAAAATAATCTTAACTTTTTAAAGTTATATTAAAAGTTTAAGAAATTTTAAAAAATAATTTATAAATATATAAAACCTTTTAATATTTAATTTTATTATATAATTAGAAACTTTATTCTAGTTATTTTTAATAGTAATTAAAATAAAAAAATTAAAATAAACTATAGTTATAATAGTTAAATCTAACTTAAAAATATAAAATAAATCTAAGATATATAATATATAAGTAAATAAATTAAAATATTATAATAAATAATATAAATTACAATTTAATAATAATAAAATAATAAATTTAATATAACTAAATATATTAATAGCTAATAAGACTATTCTTTTATAAAAATACTAAATAAGTATCTATATACTAATAGTACTTATATAGACTCACTAGATAAGAGTAAGTTCAATCTTATAGCTCATCCTGGGGAAGTAAGTCGAGCATCCGGGCTCACTTATACGGGGTGAGTTCGGGATCTGTGTCAGGTGAAAAAGTAGGTACGTCATGGTTCTGCCGGTTGTGACCGCCTGGTCCCAACCTGGGCCGTGATACTGGCGTCGACTCTACTTTGCATAAACATAAAACCCATCAAACACAAGGATATAGCAATTTATCCGCTCCCCTCTTTCCATACCATCCGATGATTATATTGTTGGATGATAACCCTGTATGACAAAACCTCGGATAGATCGATATCCTGACCTTAGTCAGAAGGGGGGGTATAATAACCCCTCTTCCGGCCGATCCGGATGACCGGCACAAGCAATCATCAACATCATCATCACTGTATTGATCCCTATCTATCAAATTGAATTGACCGTAACGGATCCATCACATATTTATAAACGCCCCAGCAACAAGGTTCTATATATGAATATTCATACATGCCGTAGATCATATCAATGGAGGTGTTTCCCCCGAATGGCAAATAAGTGGTCATAGTATGCTTCTTTGCCGGCATCCGGGCCTGGGCCGGCTAATGTGTCTCACTTCAGCCTCCTTCATTATCTATCTAATACAAACCGATCGATTCCTGATGGAGCCATGAGGTCCTTCCTCCCGCTTTTAGACAGAGCCTGGTATTTGTTACCCTGGGCTTTACCTAAAAGAGACAGCAGCGGGGCGGATGAGCGGGTCCCTGGGAGTACGTACCGTACTTTTGGGGATGGGCCCATCTATTTATTGCCGGCATCTACAAAAGTACAATTATCCGTTTCGCATAGCCTTGGTAGTGGTGTGCCTTAATCTTACCCTCTTACTACTTTAGGAAACCGACGAGAGCAATACGCCGCTCAGGAAGCATCTCAAAGGGGTCTTAGTCCATGTCATAGACTTTCGACACCACGAACCCATTATTACTCGCTAGTATGCTACCATCTCGGCTGGGTTGATAAGGTAGACTACGCACCTCGTGAGTCTTTGATATAATCTGGATTATTTGCCTTAGCTTATATAGTTGGGGTGTAATTGGTGAGGATTATAATTTAGTAATTTAGTTGTGAGATATTTGCAACTTGGGCGTGAAGAGCAATAGTCCATAGCGTAAGCATTATCGTGGGGCTTGATGTTTAGTTATACTATTCAATTACATATCGAAAACTATTATAGGTAATCTAGTTAAGACTGAAATAGGCCATGGTTTTGCTAGATAGATTGAATTTGCAGTTATATGTACCAGCATATATTCAAGCTTTAATATATACATAGGAAAGATCAAATTGACAAGTTCTAGCTTCCTTCTGAGCTAAGATCAGCCGTACTATAGGGAGGTTCCAGGCTCTGTGACCGGGACTGTTATGAAAACGCTCTAAGAACGACGAGCATTGTTGAAAAAGGTCCAGGTCTCTCCGGGAGCCCAGGTGCCGCTATTGTTATCGCGGGGGTCGGCGACGTGGTCACCGCTGTGGGCAATCCAGGTGACGGGAGCTCGGCTGCACTCGTAGGTGGTTTTGATATGGGAGCCGGAGCCGCGGGCGGGCTCGGGGGCGTTCTTGGACTGGCAGCCATTGAGCTGGAGGAACTTGTCTCGCAGGGCTCGGCCACGGTCGATGGGAAGGACGCTATCGGCCACGCCGTGAATACTAAGGTAGGGAACAGGCTTGGTGCCTCCGTTGCATCCGCTAAGCTGAGCACCAGAGATGACAGCAACGGCCTTGAAGACGTCTGGGGTCTTTTGGTCAGCAATTGCTAATGCTGGTATTCTCTAGCATCCTGCCGTCTTACCAGGTCGGGAGCAAGCAACGGAGAAGGACATGGCACCGCCGTAGCTGAAGCCAGTGGCGAAGATTTGCTGCTCATCGATACAAAGGTTGGACTTGACGGCATCGAGGATCTGGTCAGTAAACGTGATGTCGTTTCCATTAGTGTTCGCCCAACCGGCATCCAAGCCTTGGGGAGCAACGAAGATGGCAGAGCCCTGGGCCAGGCTCTCGAGGCCGTAGTAGCCTCCTCCAGCTACATTCTGCATGGATCCACCAAGCCAGTGGTAGCCAAAGATGAGCTTGTAGGGCTGGTTGCGGTTGTAGTTGCCGGGGATTTTCAGCGTGTACTGACGCTGCTGGCCAGCAACCGCGAGAGTCTTGACGCCGCTCTGGATGGGATTCTTACCACAGCCTGCCGAGGCTGCGACAATGCCCTGAGCGGCAGTTAGTAGGAGGAAGAGGGTAGCTAGAAGGTTGGTGAACATGGTGAAAGGATCGCGTTGACTTGTTGTGTTGGATAGAAGTAAAAGTAGAAAGCTCTTTCAACATTAGGCGGAAACCCAGTATGCTCTCAATATTTAAATACTTCTTTTCCCTTCCGTGGAAAACGCTGTCAGAAGAAAACAAGGATCTACCAGTTCATAGAATAGCCTAATCAAAAATAAGGGTGATATGACCACAAAACAGCCCGATGAAGGCCGACATTCTTAGCAACCTATGTCCTGCAAAAAACCGCGTTGCGAAATGGAGGAGTAACTTCCGCCAATCCCTGGGGCTTCACAAATCATGTAAACCCCGCAATACATGGCCAGCAAGGCGCAGTCACCTTCCACGTGGTGATGTGTTTGTGAACTGCCGATACCTTTTGGTACTGATACTATTTCCGAGGGTGAGGCTGGGGGCGTGGCTCTAGATGCAAGAGTAATAATAAACGCATATTGAGTCTTTTAGCCGACGCTATTTACAAAAGTACAACAAATGGCCATACCCCGCCTCTCATATAGCCTGAAACATGCTCACGACCTAGGGTTGCTTGCGTCCGTCTTACAGTGCGCTGATCCTTAATAAACAGCATGCTCTTAAAACACCGAGACCATTTCTCCACATTTAATCGCGCGACTACTTTATATAAGTTATCGAAAGATTTTCCATTGGTAACATGGAAAGAATCTGGCTAATTGGTTTTCTTCTTAGAGTGAACTGCTTAAAATAACCCTAATAAAGGAGTCCATTTAAAGTTATCCGTAATGGAGTTGCCTTCCGCTTTAAGATTACACCATCTGCCTCCGACCCCTATTCTGTCATTAGTGGGGTCACTTCCAAAGTTCTGGGAAATACAAAAGGACCAGGTTCGGAATACCACAGCCGAAGACCCAAAGAAATTTGACGCTTTCCAACTTCGGCTGTTGGGTGTCCTTAGCACGACCACTATAGGAACATTCGTGCCTACGTGTTACGGATCTGTTCGCTACCCAAGGGTCGGCTGGCGGAGACTTCAGCGAGGGGCCCATTAAAGCGCAGGGGGCATTATAGCCTATTCTTCCGCTGGACTGTTTTGATGGGCACCGAAGGCTCGGCTCATCGGCAATGCTGTTGTGGGTCCTCAAATCATAGACCCTTACACCGGGCAGGGCTCCATCAGCTCGAGGTGAAACATCTCAAAGTCTGGAGATATTCCTTCCAGTAACACAATGGCTCTAAAACCGAGGGGCGTGTCGGATACGAGAAGGTCCAAGTGACCTATTCTAGAAAATCAAGGTAAATAAGAACAATGTTCAAGTCGTAGTTATTTAATAGACAGAACCTCCTCGTTCTCAAGTCTTTGTCTCTTGGTAGGAACAAAAGCTTCTCCTTCATTCCCACTGCTTCACTATCATTCGTTGCAAGCCACCCATTTCTTTCACTACTCCTTTTTTTTCCCCCAAACGCAGAATTCAATATGAAGTTCTCCGCCTTCTTGTTCGCAGCTTCGCTTGTCGTGGCTGCTCCTACTGTTGAGCCGCGCCAGTCCAGCAACAGCATCAACAAGCTGATCATCAACAAGGGGAAGAAGTACTACGGCACCATCACAGACCCCACCCTGCTCAACAACCAGCAGAATGTTGCCGTTATTAAGGCCGACTTCGGCCAGGTCACCCCTGAGAACAGCATGAAGTGGGATGCCACTGAGCCCAGCCAAGGCCAGTTCAGCTTTACTGGTTCCGATCGGGTTGTTCAGTTTGCCCAGCAGAACGGCCTCAAGGTCCGAGGACACACTCTTTTGTGGCACTCCCAGCTGCCCCAGTGGGTTCAGAACATTCGTGATCGCAATGTTCTCCAGCAGGTCATTGAGAACCACATCAAGACTGTTGCTGGTCGGTATAAGGGCAAGATCTACGCCTGGGTAAGGAAACTGGCGTTATTATATATGAACACTTGAGAGGACTAATTCATACCATAGGACGTAGTCAACGAGATCTTCGCCGAGGATGGCAGCCTCCGCGACTCTGTCTTCTCCCGAGTTCTTGGTGAGGATTTCGTGTCTATTGCCTTTAAGGCTGCGCGCGCTGCCGACCCCAACGCCAAGCTCTACATCAACGACTACAACCTCGACCGCGCCCAGTACAGCAAGGTCGCTAACGGCATGGTCCCTAAGGTCAAGAAGTGGCTTGCTGCCGGTATCCCTATCGATGGCATTGGTTCCCAGACCCATCTCGATGCTGGCGGTGCTGGTGGTGTACAGGGTGCCCTTCAGGCCCTTGCCAGCAGTGGTGTCTCAGAGGTCGCTATCACCGAGCTCGATATTGCTGGTGCCCCTTCCAACGACTACGTTACTGTCACCCAGGCCTGTCTGAACGTTCCCAAGTGTGTTGGTATCACTGTCTGGGGTGTTCGTGATACTGTAAGTGACCATCCGTTCCAACTGTTTCTTTTTTTTCTGTTCCCCAAGCTCATATCAATTTCAGGACTCGTGGCGAGTTGGCAAGAACCCTCTACTCTTCGACGCCAACTTCCAACCCAAGCCTGCCTACAACGCCATTGTCCAGGCTCTCAAGTAAATTGTGAGGCGGATGTTGAGATAGCGCGCATTGCTGAGGGCCATGGCCCAAGCCGTTTTACTTCCTTGTATACATTGACTTTAGAAATTGAACAAATACTGTCCCATTCGTGCGACGTTGCCTTCTTGGGAATTGTCAGATAAGTATCGTTGATCTATTCATTTGACGGTTCAGCTAGTAAACCCAGGAGCCAGGAGCTTTGAGAGAGAGTCGGACAATTGACTGTATAGGGGTATTGATCATGCCAGTCAATTGATGAAAATTATCTAAAGAACAAAAGAAATGGAACACCCATGTTCGGGCACAGCTATTCAAGCTCATGCCATTAGGATGGAGTCCTTGATACGACAAGTCAGTTGTGAAACCGGATACATGACTCGAGGTATGGGCCGCGTTGCACATCTGGTCGCTAAAGCACAGTGGAACATGGCGGTGATATGCGACACCGTGCTGTTTCCCTATGTTTGGTAGCTGGCGCGGTTCGAGTCTCACGTGAATCCTTGGGGAGAAACAAAACAGCGAGGCAGCGGCTGACGGGGTCTCTTACACAGTAAATACCCTGACACTTCAGCTACATTCTAATTAGGGTGAGTAGAGGCTATAGTGAATTACTCAGTGGTGGTGTGGCGTTCAAGTTTCAAGTGTCAGTCGTACCTTGCGATCCGACTTCTCAACAAGCAGTCAGTTATCAAGCAGTACTGATTACTAATTGATACTGATATAATATCAGTATCAGTAAGCTTCTAATCAATCAATTAGTAATCAGTAACTCACGTGACAATGTTATATTTGGCGTCGAGATTTATATGGTATGTTTGCCTGCCGCAGAGCTTCGATTCAATCACCATGAGATCCGACGCACCCGACCGTGGTGGGGGATTTCATCGACGTTCCTCGTTAGCTAAAATGTGATAGCGAGTACCGCCATGACACTGCATCCCTCTATGATAACCAGGGTAGGGAATCAATCCACGACTTCCACGGTATTGATCAATATGTTGACTTCAATCCACGTCAACGTCAATCCACGAGACCTGTTGTTATGTAATCAATCCATCCACCGTTGGGGGCTCATCAATGTTGGGCTTCGGGCTTCGGGTTGGGACGTAGCTGTCATACGCACGTGTTGCCATTACGCCAGTCCGGCCGGGTGTAATGCGCCGCGGCTGGCAGCGTGGTTGGGAGCTGAAAGGCTCAAACTTGCGGCTGTGTGTGTGCGGCGAAGAATAGGGCACCGCCTTCGCTCCGCCTTCGCTCCGCCTGCTGGATGGATGACCTATCAGATTCCAATACAATTCAGCTCCGTATGTTGGCGCAGGTACAGTACGAAGCCTGACGATAAGCATCTAGGTTATCTGCTACCTCGCTCTCGCAAACAGCTATGGATCCCCTCACTGCGCTTGCAGTGTCTGGAAACATCCTTCAATTTGTGCAGTTTGTAGGCGGGCTCTTGAACAACACCCGCAAGCTCTATGCGTCTGCATCAGGCATCACTACTCAGCACGAATATGCCGAAGATATATGCGAGAAGCTTATTAACTTCAGCGAGAGCTTCGAGCCCTATACTCGGATTTATTAGAAGAATTTAATAGCTGGAAATCGAAGTACGTATAGGCTATCGTAGACTGCGTAGCCATGTGTAAGGAGGACTGCAGACCTCCTGGAAATAATAATGCAACTAAAAGTTAAGGGAGGCAAGGACCCGCGATGCTGGAGGAGCTTCCAAGCCGCTCTTGCGGAAGTCTGGAAATCGAGCGACATTAAGGAGCTAAAGGATCGGATTGCTAATACTTAGCACTAGATGATTCTCCAGTTATATGCTATCTCTAGGTTTGTATTCTTGATGGCTATTATTTCTATGCAGTTAGTTATGCTAATGCTATAGTAAGTGATAAAATTAAAGTTATTAACTATTAGCTTAAGTAGGTTAAGAAGGTAGTTAGGGCTTTAAATTTGCAGCTAAATAAATTTATAGAGATAATAAAAAACCTAGAATGCTAAATTAAGAAGCTAAATAACTAGGAAAATACTAATATAAATAGTATAGAAAGAGTCTACTCTAATCTCTTTAAGTTATTACTTAATACTTATATTTATAAAAAGGAAATATAGATTATAGCCAGTCTTAGTTATTAAAAATGCCTAATAAGATATAAAATTATACCTCAGGCCTATAAAATAACCTTTAAATAGAATTTAAAAAAGCTAGAAAATACCAGTAAAAAATCTACTTTACTTCGCTAATAGCTTGCTGGGAATAGCAGCCTCTTCTAGGTATCTAAAAAGCTAGGCTCCAGCAAGTTAATATTTATAAAATTTATTACTAATTATCTTAAAATAAGATACTATCTCTAGAAATAGGCTGGTTCTTATAAAGTATTAGTAACTAGTTACTACTTTACTATTTATAGTATACTAATATAAAAGTCACTAGAAGGGCTTCTTTACTCTTTTCTATATAATATTCTAAAATAACAGCCAGTATTTATCCCTAAGTTTCTTCTAATATACTAGAAGCTCAAGTTAAAGCAGCCTAAATAGATACAGTCTAAATTCAAATCCGTCCTGAGGCGTATTACTAAAGAGACTGAGGTGCCAGTTAATATCTACTTCTTTATTAATAGCCTTAATAAATATACTGGCAATAAATATACTAGCAACTACCTAGATATCTATTATATACTAAAGGAGCTTTCTTAGGCTCCCTTTATTAAAGTCTATATCTTCAGTAGGCTATAGAATATATTTAAAGATATACTAGGAGACTTAGAAGACTCAAAATACTATATATATAAGCTTACTTAAAACGATATCTATAACTATATTATATATTACTTGCGCAACTACCCGCAGTATAGTATACTTAAATCAGAGGCTAGTAGCTTTTCTTTAAAGTTTCTAATTAATAATATTATTATTAAGGTAAATAGGGTATTTCTATAAGTTACTCTTATTACCCTCTAGCTTTATAAGAGCCTTATAAATAATAATAAAATTTTAAATTTTAAGAGGAGGCTATCTAGCTTTCTAGCTAATTTAAAATAATTCTTTAAGTATATCTTAGAGTCTATTAATATATTCTACTATAGTAAAATAGCTAGTATATTATTATTTATATTATATACCCAGAAACCCCTTAATATAGAGATATTTAGATTTAATTATCTAAAGGATAACTATAAGAATTACACTCTTAAAAAGCCTACTGAACCTATTTCCTCAGCAGGTAAAAAGCATAATAGGATATTTAGCTTAGTTTCTTAGTATATTAATAGGAGAACTAAGAGCCTCTTAAAACAGCAGGGTAATTAGGTGGTATTTCTTTATTAAATAATTTATAATTTTCTATATACCCCTAAGATATCTAAATTTCTTAAGAAAAAATCAAGAAGTAAGTTTTACTTTAGTCTATTACTCTTCTAAGCTTTAATTATATATATAAAGCAAATAATATTTAATAAGGTCTATAAAGATATATTAGGGGACTTAATAAGAGAGTATTATAGCTTTATTAAGATATTATAGCAATATTTTAAGTATGTCTATTATTCTAATAAAAAGGGGCAAAGATTAATAGCTCTAATTACAGTGCTTCTTAATAATATAGAAGATAGTATTATTTATATACTAAGATAAAAGCAGATTAGTATAGTATATTACTTAATAGCAAGGGGTATATATTACTATCTTATACTTAAAGCTAGTATTAGTAGCTATCTTTATAATAAGCTTTCTAACCCTGGATATTTCAAAAGCAATTATATAACTAAATTTTAATCCCCTCTTTTTTATATCCTTAACTATAGGGGCAAGTTATCTAAGTATGATTATTAGCTATTCCTCCTAGTACTTCTTAAATCCAATTAGGATCCCAACCTCTTCTTTAAGAATTAGAGCCTCTAGATAGAATTTATTATTAAATACTGCCCCTATATTAATCTTTTAAATAAAAATATACTTAACTTTACTCTAGAGAAAGGTATTCTAAATATGCTACTTTAATATAAAGCTAACTCTAATACCTAAGTAGATATTAAGAGCAGATATAAGTTAAGACTTAAAATTTCTATCTAGTTTTTATTTCTTATAGTAGCTTTATTTATATAATTAACTCTATAATTAGTATCTTATAAAAAAGACTTTAATCTAATACTAAATAGAATTTAAAATCTAAATAATATAAAAATATATAAGTATAAAAGCCCCTAGTAGTTAGAGATTAATTACTAGAATATCTATAATAATAACTTTCTATTACTAATAGATTTATATTAATACTAAGAGAAATTCCTTATAAGAATCTTTAATAATATTCTTATTTAAATAATAGAGAAAAAGTTACTTAAAAAAGCTTAAAAATAGATTAAGAGAGTACTTATATCTAATATTTATTAAGAGCTAAAAACTAAGATTTTAACCCTATAGAAATATAATATAAATCCGCCTTAGAAATATTATTTGGAAGATAATAGAATATAAAATTGCAGGCTAAAGAAAAATATCTAGAAGAAGAAACACTAGGTGGAATTTATCTACTGTCCGATAAAGAACCTTATAACTGAGCTTGCCGACATACTAGGCTGCCTATCATACACCGCCGACTCTGGCACGGAGGAGGAGAAGGGCGCGGTCATCGAGCGATGGCTCAATATCGTCGATCCGGCCGCCGTCGTAGCCACATCGGCACTCGGCCGGCCTCGTCAAAGGCGAGGAGGGGCAAACGGCCGGACCCGAACAGTCGATGGTCGCCGTACACGACACCAAACAGCTCCTTGTGGCAGTTGTATGCCTTGGCCCGGATGATGCCGGGCTCCCGTGCCCCCGGGTGGCCTACATTGGCCGTCCGTGTGGGCTTGGCCATTGCTGTATATGTGCCTACGTCACGAAGCAGGCACGTTTGAAAGTGGGTCGGGCGGAGAGGGGCAGCATAGGGGGTGATCTCGGTCAGTTCCTTGTGCAACTGGTTATGGCACTGGCTCTTCCAAAGAAGCGTGCAAGGCTCCCTGGCTCCTATGTCAGGCCCCGCCAAGGAAGTGGGGGGATACTGCTGAGATACAATCTGCAAAAGTAATGGGTACCCATACTGATGGTAGTGTGAATGTAGTATATATGCCTGGTCCTTTCAACACCTCTTATTGAAGCGCGCCCAGTCCACAATGGCTTCCAAGTTGAGGCTCCATCGGTTGCGGTTCAGGGGTGTTATGGCGCGCAAGCCGTTACTAAAGGTGATATCGGAGCGGTCAACCAGCTTTGTATTCAGTAGGGCCAGATCTTGCCATGTCTGAGTGCCGTGCCGTACCCTGTCCAGAAGAGCGCCTAGCTCTGGGTCGTCTCGTGCAAGCTGTCCGCAAAGTCCACTCCTCGTTCCACCAGAATGAACGGCTGCTCTCCCGTTGCTTGGACGTGCATCGCGCACGGCTCGGCCTCATCAGCGGTCGAGCTGCCGGCAGACGAGTAAGAAGGCGACCGACTGCTTTCTGTTGAGCGTGAAGCGCTTCGCCAGCTGCCTCCCCGCCGCTAGTAAGGATGTCGATGGTCCGAACCGGACGCTAACCGTTGTGGCGTTGTCTAGCATGCTCTCCTCGGTGTCGGTAGCGGTCAGCTGGACGTCTTGCTCCCCAAACCCGCTCAGTACGGCGTCCACGACTGCGTTGCAACCGGCTATGTTTCTGTCGGTCAGACCCTGGATGCCCTGGATCATCCTCTCCATCTCTCTCGAAGCTCTTTTCTGCTGCGATTTGATAGACTTCAGCAGCCTCTATGCTGGAAGTTCGAATCCGGTGAACTGACCTCCCGGTAGGGTCGCTGTTCTTGCTTCCCGCTCGGATGCTATCCGGGCACGCAGCTCAGACGTTGAACCCAGAGCGGCGTACTGGAATCGGCAGAGCTGCTGTGTCATCACCGAGAGCTCCTTCGAGCCGGCCGTGATCTGGTTTGCTCCACCGGCGCTCCTCATGACGTCGATCAGTCGCGTGGCGTCCCCGATGTTATCCCAAGTACCGCTGCGTTTAGCGTAATAAAGCGCAACACAACAGGGAGGTTGACTGCGGGGAGCAGGTGGAGTCGTAGGCAGGCAGGTAGTTAAACCTTTATCGCACTAGGCTGGGAGGAAGCGTACGATCATCGCACTAATAGTCCCATTTTCTGGGAGATTACGGAGGGCTCTTTCAAAAGTCATGTCCTGACGCTAGTTCAAAACGGGAGATCTGCCTGTTGTGGCTGGGTCAGCTACATAGAGTACTCTCTCTTGTGGGTTGTGCAGTAAAGACCGCTAATTTTATAGAGGCCTGTGCTCACTGTGCGACAGGCTGTTTCCCCTACGGTCGCTAAAACTATAGGGATGTGATAGCCAACTCATCGTGGTTGGTTTCGATACCTTGTATCTGATGTAACTGACAAGGATTGAGGGATATGGCGCATTTAGCGCGGGACATGACTTTTGAAAGAGCCCTCCGTATATGTCACAGCCAGTTCCTGACTCGTCCGTGCGTTATGCAACGTCAACGCCATTTAACCTTATAGGGAAACCCACCCTCGACCTGCGGCAGGTAGTTCTTCAATACGGGAATAGACGCGAACTTGTCCTTTTGCGCCCCGTGCAGCTTCGCATAGAAGCTGACGGCGCCTGTAGCCAACAGTCTACCTCCAGCATAGAGCTGGGTTTTATCTGGCGCGCTCCGTGCAAGAAGCATCGCTATTCGGGCGCCTGCAGCTAACAGGACTTTATCGGCGCGTAATATCCTGTCGTCTCGAAGCTAGATGTATAAACACTAGCCCTCTATTAGCTGACCCTTTACTCCAATCTCCAGCAAGACCATCTCGGCTACCACATACTCGACGCCCAGGTCGACTGCTGCCTAGACTACGGCACCAAGCGTCTTGTCGGCCTCGGCGAAGCTAACGCTGGGGTTGTACAGGGGTCCACGCCCTTGAAGTCGGCTGTGGCCAGGGGACCGTTCCAGCGCCGCCGCACCTCGTCCACGGGCAGCAGCTCAGAGTTGTTGGCGATGCCTATGTCGCGGTACGAGGCGATGCTCTTCTCGCCGAATGACATCGAGTCGGCTCGTAGCATGCCCACCTCGTGATACCACGTCTTGTAGAGTTCGTCCTGGCGCCAGAGCGGCATAGCCTTGGCCAGCATGCGCATGTAGAGCCTGTACGGGTAGTCATCCCGGACGATCTTGTTGATGTCATAAGAGGCGGCTCTGGGGTTCGGGTAGTCCGCGGTATCGACAAGGGTGATCTTGACGTCGCCCTTCTTGATGAGGGACAGGGCGGTTGCGGCACCAAAGTTGCCGGCCCCAATGATGAGTACAGAGGAAGAATAAGAGGCCATATTGGGTATCAAAGATGTCTGGTCAGCCAGTTCGCGGCACACGAGATATGAGAGCCCCTTGGGAGTTAGGGGGGGGGGGGGGGGGGGCTCTTCCAACCGACTATCAAGGAGAGATAGCCAACACTTCTCCACTGGACTAGCAATTTCAATAGTTAACTTGGGAAATAGATATCAACATTGTTTCATATCCCGCATAATGATGGTTTGACTGACGAAGCGCCAGACCAAGTGTTAAGCATGAAACCCGGTGAATTCCGGGTTGCGGGGTACCTGCTGATCATGCGGCGGTTTGGGGCACGCTCAGTACGGACTTGCTCGCACACACGCCTGAATGTGCCAGTGCGATGGCACGCCAGTCCATAGCTCAATACCCCAGTGCAAGCGTGGAGAATCATGTGTACAGCGGCAGAGCGGGTAGCAGCGAGCGACCGCGAATAGCCCAGTGGGTGGTAGTGAAGTCCTTGAGTTCTGCGGTCCGTTGCACCATGAGAGGTGGTGGAAAAGCAGGGTTTTCTAGCCGCGCTTCAGGTGCCCTCAGTCACTTTCATTGTCATTATTCGAATGCATCTTGTGCATCTTGTGCATCTTATACATCTTCTCAATTTCACATTTACTAGTTTAACGCTATTAACTACAGATAGCAATTCTATCAGCTTTCTTTTTCTACGCTGTCCCGTGGGCTTCATTATCTCACCCGTCTGTCGTGGAGTAGAACGGGACAAGCACAGGGTACCAAACGATCACCGCGGTGGGTCATAATGCCCGACGAGTCGACATCCACTCACAATGCGTTTCTTTTTATGAGGACGGCGGAACATGCCGAGCGAGCTTGCCAAATGCTACGGATGGCGTGCTGTGGGTGGGTGGCATTCATCCTTCACTGGCTCCAGACTTCAATCGTCCATAGACAACACAACGCCAGTCATCATGAGGCGTCCGTATCATGTCAGTCGAGACCATTCGCCCCTACCGCCACACGCTTTATCTTGAGCGACCGTGGAGCCAAATCTCTCAAGCAACCCTCCCCCAGATAATAAAGGGCTGCCTCTTTTCCCCGCAAATTGTACAGGGCAAGTCTTGAGGCGAGCCGCTTTTGCTGCTCACTTTGCTCCAGTTGTCACTGCCTTGTTCATACTCCGTACACCACCCTAAGTGCATTCACGTCCAGGAACTCGGTTGAGCTAGACGTGGTTAGCGCTGCAGGTTTGTCGGAAGTTCTCTCTGACGCCTCTAGCAATCTGCTGAGCCTGGGCGCTCGGCAAGCTTCTCCAATGATGATAGAAGACTCACCAAGCTCTGATCGCCCACTAAAGCGTGTTAAGTATGCGCAACAGGAGGACCACTCTATTCTCACCCTCCCGGTGAATATGGCCACGGGGATTGTCAGGCCTATTAGCAAACTCCCCGGCTCTTAGACTGATGCCCTATTATTTGAAAACCCGCGGCCATTCCAACCAGGCTTGACGTCTCCATCACAGATACTCTTATCCCTCTCCGAGGATCTCCCTCCATAGCTCACAGCTCTTCCAGGTGAGGGAATATTCCATCCACCCCGTATCACCATCTTCACCACACTTTACTCTTTCCTCCCCATCTTCTCTCTGTCTCCCTCCTGATTCGCGCTGTCTTGACTCGTTACTGTACTACCCTTGGGCCTTGATAGATCGAGTTGTGGGTCCCAAGCCCTTCATCTTTCTCCATTCTCATTTCTCTGGTCTCAGCTACCTTGTTAAATCTCTGTCCACTGCCCCTCCCATTCAAGATGTCGAGCGTGTTCAGTGCTTTTATCATGCCGTGCTCGACTTTTAAGTTGGCGAGCTAACCTTCCATGCAGCACCGCATTCTGCAGGGCTGGACATCGAACATCCCTCCGCCACACCGGGCCAACCTCAAACTTTGTGTTATCACGTTTTTAATCTATCCCGCCTACTTCCCGCCATCCCGGCTGATCCTCTGCAAGCCATTTAACATTCTGAAAACACTTTATTACACAGGCCACCCCAAAGGACCCTCTTTAGCCCATTTACCGATGGCGAAGGCCGCTTAGTCGAGTCTATCGCTCCTCGATATGTTCGTCCTGAAAATGGCCAGGTGAATGGTTATATCAAGTTCAATTGGCTATTAAGAAGGTCTTCTATCTGACCTTCCGGCCCCGACCCTCCTCCTAGTGCCGTCGTGGAGGAAAAAACCGACTCGATACCGACGACGGTTATTAGTTGTAGTTTTAGTATTGTCAGCCTTAGCAGACTACCGGCTGCCCCCTCCAGAGTAAGTACCGTGGTATTGTTGCCAGGCTATTTAGAGCTTTTCTAGAGCATCTTCTTATTACTACCGATAGACTCAGTATCACTAGTATCTTCTTAAGACTTAATATTAAAACTTGTAATAACTGGCGAGCCTAGGATGCTACCCCCGTATTTTGAATTTCAGGCTAAGATGGATATAATAGATAGGTGGTTATAGGATTTCTATATATTCTCTTTCTTATCTCCCTTTAAATTATTTTATCTTACCTGGAAATTCTACTTAGAATACCTCTTTTTTCTTTAATAAGTTCTGATATCTTTCTCTATAGATATTAATAACTGGTGCTCTAGTAGAAGTATTCTTAGTAATACTAACCTATAGCTAAAAGACTTTACCTAGATATATAATAATAAAGGTATTTAATATACTATCTAAAGCTTAGCAGGAGTATATATCTATAATTATCTTTTAGATAAATATATTTAATAGCAAATTAATAAGTAATATATTCTAGCTGATATATACTTTACTAATCTTCTTATCTCTATAAAAAGCTTTAAAATTAGAAAGAGTAGTAATATTATTACTATAGTATGTAAAGAGGTTATATACAGACAGGTACGTAGCCAGGTAAGTACAAAAGGTGCTACAGGGGTTATATTAAGACTGAAGCTTGTAGGCTTCAGTTATACCTGCTCTACTCTATCTATAGTATATCCATTGCAAAACCCTAACGCTAGGCTAGCATAACCCTTAGGGAGCGATATTAGTTTAGTCTGGTATACTAGGGTAGTCCGGGACCCACCTGCATTATAATATCTAGCAGTAATACTAATAATAGCAGTATAGTAATTTATATAAATAGTGATACTTAAAAAAGATAGAGAGAAAAGTAGCTGCTTATTATTGACGAGGTAAGTATATTAAGTCTTTAGATACTCTCTGATATTAATAAGTAACTTTATACCTCCTGGAGATTAAATTAAGATTTTAAAGGTATTTTAGTAATTCTACTATTAAAAGATTTTTACTAGTTCTATTTAGTATAAAATAAGTTGCTATTAATACTATAGTCTACTCTTAGAATTACAGATAAAATAAGAATATATATATTCTAGGCTTAATTTATTACTGTTATTATACTTACTAAATAAGTATATATAGTAGGGGATATATAGCTATAGTAGCTGCTAATTTAAATCTAGTAGGAGTAGTAAGATAAATCTAATATAAAGCTTTTTAATAGCTAGTACTTTTAAAAAAGCTAAGTTATATTATAAAGTAAGAGTATTATAGTAATTATACCTCTTAATAATAATAAATAAAATCTAAATATAAATATAATCTTAATTTTTTAAAGATATTACTAAAAGCTAATTTAAATATTTCTATTCTAATACTATTAGTATAAACTTAATATATTACTAGTAATAAAAGAAAAAGCTATACTTATAACTAGTATTAAAAATAATAATAAGATTTATATATAGCTATATTTATATTTATACTTAATATACTAATAATAATAACTAAAAATATAAACCTAAGCCTTAAGCTTATAAATAAAATTAAATATAAAATACTAAAAATTATATTAAATATTAAAAGATTTCTAAAATATTAACTTACTATAAATATTATTCTTTACTTTAAATTACCTATTAATATTATCTTATTATCTAAATTAATTAAAAAGTTTAAATTTAATAATATACTACCTAATATAATCCTACTTACTCTAATAAATATCTAAATATCTATTAAAAAGAAGAAGAGGGCTAAGAAAAAGCCTTAGTAGAGGTATAAAATAAGCTGCTAAGAACTTCTCTATACTATAGTATTTATATATACTAATTATAAAATCCAAGGCAAAACCCTCCTCGAGATTATACTAGAGCTATAAGAAACCGAAACAAAGCTGAATACTATAACTGGATAACTCGAGCTAGGAAAATGCGATCCATATAGCCTATATATATAGCTATTACAGTGCAAATCGCTTAATAGTATTATATTGCTGTTAAAGGCATGGGTGCAGGATATAGTCGGGAATAAACTACTATAGGAAATGTTTGATAGCGAGGCTAGGCTGGAATAGTTGTGCGAGAGGACAGTAAATAAGGCCCGATTATCGTTGTTATATCTATCTACACAATACTAGCAGTAATGTTATCGGAAAGCTAGCGTGGCACTTGGATGACCTTGAACATGTGTGTGTGTATTGTGTATGTCTTGTCTATAGCTCCCGCCCCTTAAGGTCAGGGAGGCCCGGCGGGCCCCTGACGGGTCAGTCCCGAATACCCCCTGTTTCTCACGTGACTTCCTGGAGCCCTGGTGTTCCAACATGCCTCCAATTTAATAAATGTAATTTAGATAATAGATTTCTTATCTATAAATAGAAGTAGGTAAAAGGATAGAAAACCATATATATAATTAGATAAGTTAGATCCAAACTAACTTAATACATTACACCTAACTCAAGCACAAGAAAAAATCTCATAAAATATAAAGACCAGAGTAATAACGCTATCATAAACCGAGTTCTCACGTGTATTTCACGTGCATTTCACGTGCCTCTTAACAAGAAACCCTCAAAAGAAGACTCCTTTACACTTAATCTCAGAGAGCGAATGAGAGTTCACATGTTCGCATTACCAAATGAGAAAGAGAAGATTTTGGCACCTCTGGGAGGCATTCGGATAGGGTTAATCCGGACCAACAGGAGGTGCAGTTGCGCTTACTAATCGGGTAATCACTTAATCCGGTATTTTTGCAAGGGGGCCAAATTTCGGAGTTGACAATCCCAGAGCTTAAGAAGACCTTTCGTACCGAAAGGCATGTAGAGTCAGCCTTCGGCTGAATAACGAGGTTTTGTGTACAAGACATGGCGGCGCTAATTTTATGCGTTATCATGTCATCTTTCTAAACCCTCGTCATTTTGTTGCAGACCCGGGATCAGGTCCTAAATGCGTGTCATTATGATTTCAAGCCAAGATCACCACGCATTAAACCGGGCGGTTAGGCCGAAGTTAAAAGTTATAGCACAGATGCCTTAGGCGGCATAGTGCAACTGCCTTAGGCGCATATATACACTCCTTTGGCCTGACCGCCTCCACAGCTCGATCGTAGTCACCATATCTCTTTATTCCACACCCTTCACAGAAGTCTATATTGAATATAGCGAGAGAGGATGAAAGCCTCTTGATTAAAATGTGTATAAAGACGGCAGAAACCTAAAATGGTACCCGAAGCCCGCGAAAGTCCGCAAAACAACAATCAATAAGAATATTCCAACACTGCGACTTCTGTTTCTTCAATCATTAGGCTTTTTTCTTCACAGTTCTTTCATCAAAGCTACCATGGCGCCCACCGGGAAATCACCCCTTAACCTCATTTTGGGAGCAGGAAACGCAAGTCTCCCCGAAGTACCGAAGCATCAATTCCTGTGTGACGAGAGTCTAACCTCCAAGCTGCGCAGATCGGAGACTCGTCGGTCGACCCCATGGCACGTTTCGATAGCCCTGACGACGTGAATGCCTTTCTCAACGCCTTTGCATCCCGTGGTTACTATCAACTCGACACTGCACGCATGTACTCCCCTCATGCGCCCCGCAGTTCCGAGCCTAGAATCGCAGCTGTTGCTGGAGGAGACAGGTTTGTGGTTGACACCAAAGTCAATTCACGAGAGCCAGGAAGTCATTCGAAAGAAAACATCTTGAATGAAATCGACATGTCGCTCGAGACGTTGAAAGTCAAACAGATCAACATTGAGTATCTGCACATGCCAGATCGTGCCACTCCATTCCAAGAGACTTGCGAAGCCATGGATCAGGCTCAGCGGGAAGGCAAGATCAAGCAGTGGGGTCTCTCCAATTACACCGCCGAGGAAGTCCAAAGATTTGTGGACATCTGTGAAGAACACGGCCTTGTCAACCCCAGCGTCTACCAAGGCCAGTACAATCTCATTGTTAGAGGCGGAGAAAAGGACCTCTTCCCGATCTTGCGCAAGTATGGGCTCGCTTTCTATGCGTACAGCCCTGCTGCGGCCGGTTTCTTCGCTGGCAACCACAAGAACATCAAAGCGGGTGGACGATACGATCAATCTGTGCGCAGAACCTTCTCCCATCCTTGCAGAATTGTCCTTTAGACTAATTAGTTGAAGCATTTCATCGGCCGCTTGTATTCCCAGCTCTACTTGAAGCCGTCCATCATTGCTGCCACGGACAAGGCGCTCGCAGTCGCATCTAAGCATGGAATTGGCGGCCACGCCGCTGCACTTCGATGGGCGGCCCATCACAGCGTTCTTGACAAAGCATACGGTGACTCTATCATCATTGGCGCCTCCAGCGTGGAGCAGCTGGAATCGAATATGGACATGATTGACCAGGGACCGCTGCCTGAGGATGTGGTAGCCGCTTTGGAAGCCGTGTATAAGGAGATTGGCGACCAGGTTTCGTACCATATGTAGACTAGTTTACTATTAAGGGACGGTTGCGCTAGATCAGCAACTAGGCTATATGCATTAGGAGCGAGTCCTGGCCATGAGGATGGGCTCCTCTGAGTTAGCTGCTTACGATCTTCGAGCTGGCCCGCTGACAAATTGACCACCTAATAAAGAGCCTGAATCGGATGGTCAGTCCCGCAGTTGGACGCAACACCAGTCGCAGTTCCTGCTCTAACTGATCCTGCCGAAAGTGTTTCGGTGACCGGAGGGAAATCGTTGGTCGAAGGTATACTAGAAGGCCCTGCGGAAGCTATTCGAGGCTCTCCCGCTGTTGCACACGCTCCATATGCTCAACCTTCGTCTACTATGCAAGATTCTGTCACATTTCGGGGTCATATCCTAGACAACGTGACTTTCCTTTCTTTCTCCTCTTATCTCAGACCACATCGCCGGCCCTATGACCACGATCCCGGTCTCCGGGACCCACAGGGCCCCGGGCCCTGTGCGGCGGCGACGGACTGCCGCCTCCGGCAGCAGCCGTCTTCATCATGTATAAAAGACGGGCTCTCGGCCCGTCCCTTAGCTAGAAATCAAGAGCTTTCATCATCATCATTGTGATCCTATCCATTCAGTGTGACAGATTCCCTTATAACTCCCCACTCTTCTATCTTTCCAGACTGTCCGGTTGGAACTGTGCCAAGCTCCGCCGGCGGAGAGTCTCTGGTGGACGAGCCGCCTCATTTGCGCGACCCCCCTCTGCATTCACCACCGAGGTACGACTCGCCACAAGCCATATATGGAAGATATGCTGCCGCAAGAAGCGTGTGGTACGCAGCGCAACCCACGGGCAGCATTAAGACCAATCAGCAATATCGCAGGGCCAGTGATTGGAATGGTCCGGTATGAGTTGGTATTGGTATGGTATATACCGCCAAGACCTGGTATGGTTTGAGGAGATCTCAATACAAAGGTATTACTGGTATACCAAGTCATGCCGGTAAGGCTAAAAATAGGCCGAGGTAAAGGAGCTAGTAGCGGCACGTAGCTGAATCTTAGACCAAACTAGTTACCTAGTCTCAAAAGGTGAGGTATGCAACGAAGGGTGCGGGCAGAAGAGATGATTGAATTGAGCTGCTTGATTCTATCTGGGAGCGACGGAGGTCGGTCTCTTATACCTATGTTCAATCCGCGATATCATAGGCAGCAGTCTGCTGCCTGATGCCAATTGTGGTGTGGCGTTCACTTTCATCGTGAACCTGTTCACGATGATCGTGATCCTTGCCCCCATTCCAGCACATAGTATGTGAGGAATCAAGAACATAGAATTCTTCGCTCGTCGAAATAAATGTGGGAGGTAAAAGATACCAGCTACATCTAGCCTCTTTAGCTTAGGCTGCTGCTCGTTAGCTTAGGCTGCATTTCTTTGCATAGGCTGCAGCTCTCAGTATAGACTGCAGGTCTCAACGCAGCCATTAGGTACTTAGATAGTTACTACCACTCCAAACACACTTATGCTTGCATCAATCTCTTTTCCCGACAATAAATAGTCGTAGTCTATAATAACCTACTTGTATATTATTATTATAGGATTTTCAGTCCCAACTTCGCCGCCCTTATTAACTGCACATTTAACGTCAATATTCCTTGAGACTCCTATACCTGCTCCTATATTACCCGCCTCGACGTTACCGCATACTCCTATTCTGTATCCCAAGCCTCCAGATAAGTTCATATAAGATCATATTATATATATAAATCGCGCGAAGGTTACAAAGAATACAGCTCGTCTTGGCTTATTATATATATAGAAGTACAGGCTTTATTATATTCGAGGCAGCGATGAAAAAGAGGTGCACTACTGCTATAAGTATACAGCCTGAAAGTACAAGCAGGAGCTATTTGTTATTAACGGCACGTCTGGAGTAAGAAATCATCTTAAAAGCAAAGTATCAGATTGATCCCCAGAGTGGCGTTAAGAGATATAGTTGGATATAAAAGTCTGTACTCGAGCAGTAGAAGAGTGCGGCTGCTACTAATACCTTCTGGAAAAACTCAATTGAGAAGTTTAAAGAGCTTCTAATTCGTTAGATTGTATACTGCCATATTGCTTTCTTTTAATTAGAAAATCAGTATTTCCGAGAACTACTATACTATTCTTTTTAAATCCAGCACTTCTCAACTACCTCCTAAAGGCAGCGAAAACTATTCGAAGTTGGGTTATGGACGCCTTTCTGTCGAAAAAGCAACGGCTCAAAGAGGACCTCCAGTGCTCGCGGAGTAGAATCTCCATCTCCTTTGATCTCTGGACTTCGCCAAACCCTTACACTATTCTAGGTGTTATCGCTATGTGGATTGACACTACCGGCAAGCGACGAACTATCGTTTTGGGTATACGACGTGTGTACGGCGAACACACCGGCGAGAATATTGGATCAGTTGTTCTTGAATTGCTAAAAGAAGATGATATTGACGGAGATCAGATTGGATACTTCATGCTGGATACCGGTAATCAGCTCATCGCGAGATTGGTATTCAGCTTCTGGAGGAAGACAATCGTCGGGAAAAGAAGCAGCTTCAAGAAGAGTAGAAGGAGTAGAAGCTGTAGGAAATGACTGAGAAGTACTCATAATGCCTGATCACATTAAGAATAAAGGGGGATAATTGATGAACTGTTACTAAAAGAGAGATGTAAACACAATACCGGTAGGTGCTTGACCACGTTGAACGCGTTGAACGCGTTGAACGCGTTGACGGCTCTAACCAATAGAAGATGCCTTGGCCCACAAAAAAGCTATCGCGGCGCCTGGGCGCCGTTCCAGTGGGAGCCGATGAGCATGGACATGTGAATGGACTCAAGCCCTCTCTCTCCTCCGGACCTTGATCGTGGCTTGCATTGGCGGCACGCGCCTCAGACCAAACCACATATTTCTCGGCCGCGACTCCTGCATATCGAAGTCGTAGTTCATAGCCAGGTGGCCCAGCATGAGCTTGAGCTTGTTGGCAGCGAAAAAGCGCCCAGGGCAGGCGTTACGACCGTGGCCGAAGACGAGGTAACAGTTGGACGTGGTGGCGAAGGCGTTGCGGGCGCGCTTGATGTCCTCGACGTTCTCGTCCTGCCTCCACTCGGCGAAGCGGAAGGGCTGGAATTGTTGCGCGTCCGGGTAGACCTGCGGGTCCTGCAGGACCGGGTACGAGTGCACGCTGACGACACAGCCCTTGGGGATGCGGACGCCAGAGGGCGTCGTCATGCCCTCCTCGGCGACCACTAGCCGCGACAAGCCGATCGTGACGAACGAGTTGAGCCGCGCGCTCTCGCGCAGCACCGAGTCCAGCTTGTGCATCTTGGCCAGGGCTCGCTTGTTCCATTGGCCGCAGTGTTCGGCGAGGACGGAGGAGATTTCGGCGCGCAGCTCGGCAATGTACTCCTGCTTCGAGCTGACCAGGTCCAGGTGATGGAGAAGGATGATGTGTGGATCGCCGCGAAGTTGAGTAACAGCACCCTGCCCGACAGCGTCTTGGGGTGGTACATGTAAGGGTCGCCCGACTCCTTGGCCTGGTTGATGGACCACTGTAGGAAATCGTTACGGTTAGGGGTCGCCATCTTGCTCTCCGGGTCTTTGTGGCGAGGGTCGTACTCCTGGAGCCGCCGTTCGATCTCTGGCTTCAGCAAGCGGTAGAACCGATTCGTGTGGATGCGATTAGGGAGTGTGACGAGCGGCGCAACGACCACCCGCACCGGCTTCCAGAAGACGCGCAAGACCTGCGATGCTAGGGGTATGTCCTGCGCGAAGGCCATGCCGGCGTCGAGGAGCGCGGGGTCACGGCACGTTGGCAGCCCCACGAAGACGCGATTCGTGACGCTGCCGATGACCTTGCGCATCGTGTCGTACACGCAGACCTCCTTCCACTCGGTCGTGTCGGTGCCCCAATGCTGGGCGAAACTCCATGCCGTCTCGTCGCTAACATCGGGAACCAGGTTACCAATCTGGTTTGTCAGGGTCGTGACGATGAGCTTGTTGTGTACCGGGTTGTGGATCAGGTACGGGTCCATGACGGTGTAGTCGAGCTGTAGGCTCTGGATTGTATGTTCATGTATGTTCAGTATACGATCGGGCTGGTCAACGACGAACTGAGTCTCGGATGCTGGCAAGATGATCATATTTCCCATTCCGAGCACTGGACATATGACAGCCTGCTCCTTATGTAGTCTGTATGCTTCGTTGACCGCCGCCTTGAAGTCTAGGAAATTGCGCCATTTTGCTTGCAGAAGAGGAAACCAATCGCCTTTGCGTACACCGATGATAGGGAGTTCTGGAAGCTCAGATTTCTTGAAGAAGCGCTGGCGGATTATGTATGCCAGAACCAGCACGGTCGGCGCCAGGACGGCCGGTCGCAGGAGTGTCTCCAACATCGCGAGAGGGGGTCTTGATCGTCGAAACTGCAATCGAGCAGCAAGTCAGCAACTCCAACCAGTGGGTGCCAACATGATTCTTGTCTTCCCTCTTGGCGCAGGGAGTGGCACTTTAATAAGTCATGTCACGACCTCGCCTCCGAGGCACGCCCTCCCCATCACGTGGGGGCATACTTTCCCTTGGGGTTGGCAATGAAACTCTCCAAACTAGTGGACACGGTCGCTCGTTCAGATCCAGATTCTGGCGACAGTTGTTCTCCGGCCGGTGAGCAGTAATTAGACACAAAGCGACAAATCGTCGAGCAGTGAATGGCCCACAGGCTAATTAAACAGACGGGTCGCAGGACGTTACGAAGTTTGCACCGCACAGTGCGTTATCGTGATCCAAAATGATGGCTCGAAGGGCAGTGGCATAATAAAACAGCGCTTGTAGTTTCGGCGCCGTATTCCGACATGATCTGACGTGAGAATGCGAATTACCTTTTTTGGTTTTGGCTGGTGGCTGGTGGCTTGTGAGGGTTCTTTGGCCGCTTTGCCATGATGACGGAAGGTCTGACCCTCACTCAAGTCAGCGTACGCCACTCACAATTGAGATTATTGTAAGATCAGTTGGTCGCCGCGGGAACAGCTAGAAGCAGTCAGGGTTTCGGCTGCTTTGAGGCTCAAGCCATTTACCCTCCCATTCACCCTCGTCCTTGGATTCGTTACTCCGAACTATCTGAATTGCCGATTTATCGGAATCTTGGCACCGTTTGCTGACAAGTTGGCTGTGCTTCTTTCAGATGGGACTTCAAGAATGCGCTATGTTAGTCTGTGTTTAGGACATCCCGCATGGAAACTCTCGTCAGTGTGAGGGAACGATCATGTGCTTATGAATAGTCTCACTTTATGAATATTGTGTAAATAGCTTTAAGTCAGAGTTTTCCTTAGGAATCTCTTTCTCTCCTCGTAAACAATCATTTTTCTCAAGTCGCACTCAACCTCGTCCGTGCTCTTGTCCCGTCACAATTACTCCGCACAAAACTAACCTCTCCCAACCCTCAGTGTTGCCACTCAACGTTCCACCCGAGAGCGGGACAAGCACATGCGAATGTTACTGTTGGTATCTTAGCGCAGAGACCAATGAAATTTGGCGGAGGCAAATCTGGTCCAACTGTTGTGAGCTGGTAGGTTAGCGGGCTGCAAAAGCAGGGGTGCAGCGGGGAAGAGATAACTCTTTGCCTTCATACCTACGTCACCATGGGTTTTCAGACGGATACGTACTAAGACCTTGGAGGAGGGGAAGCCCGAAGAGCAAACATATGCCCATCGTTGGGGGAATGGTGGCGATTTTGCGACTTGGTAAGCTGTCGAGACTCGTTGGGATCTCGCGGTGGTGGTGCTACTTATGAAAGTTCCTCGGTCGCCATAAAACGATACTCTCGTCCAGTCTTGCAAATTCAGACACCACCACGAATGACCATCTCGCTAAAAGAGGAAAGCAGCCATCGTACCATACTGCATGCTGCGGGCGTGTCCGGCCTGTCCTATAGGCGTGCCGGTGATGTGTTAAGGTTTCTCAGCCCGTCACTGCATGCGATGTTTTCGGCCTTAATTTGCACCATAAATCCTGAGGCATATGAACGCACTGACATTGGGAGATCACGATTCCAAGCTCCCCAACAATATTGCGCGTAAACCCAGCCGACAGATGGGTGAGTAGTAATGGCACACAGTCCTGTTTCCTCTAAAGCAATGAAACGCATGTCAAAGTTATAATTATGCAGAGACACAAAAGTTAACTGACTTCCCTTCCAATATGGCTTGTATTGAAGCCCTCGAGAGCCAAACCCTCTCCAGGATTATAGGAGACGGGCCAGCTCTAAACGATTTCGATATAACTCACTATTTACCCTGGTATCAGCTAGGGATCCTTCGATTTGCCTCTCTTTCGAAGCCATTCAGAAATTAGTATTCTGCAATGGATTACATGTGCCATCTTTGCGCTAGGTGTTTCGATACCGGCGGAGAATTACGAAAATACGTCCAATGAACGAGTTAGGTGCTGCCAGCGCACTACAATGAACCTAGCTGACAATCTCAAGACGGATGAGGTGCGCACTTGAATCTTATAGAGCCATAGGTGTGGATTTGCCCGGCGCAAAATTACCACGCTGCACTCAAGATTGTCGTGCCGCTAATGCGAGAATGATAGAATAGGGCAAAAGGTCATTTGCGATCCTAGCTACACACCCAAGAGGAGAACATTTACATCACCCCGCACCAATGCAACATTCATCAGGTCTGAGGCTACACTTGGATCATTTTAAAGGTTATTATACTATCGTAGTCCTTATCACATGCGATTCCTCGTCACAAAAAGATCTTGCTGATTCTGCCCCAGAGTCTGTAGTGACTTGTTTATCTTGCCCTAATTGGTCACATCCTGCCAAGTCATCACGTAATTCTGACGAAAGACCGCATGCGTAGGAGCTTTTCCACCTAGCCAAACCCATTAGGCATCTTCAGGAGCCAGTTTTTACAGATGTTGATAAATTATTAAATACTTATTACTGTACCCAGTTCACTGTCTCATCCCTCGCAGTCTTATATAGGCGGGCCAGAAACAAAGCCAATGATATGAAGCCACGTATAAGCATGTAAGTAGCACAAGTCAATAGTACTATTTGTTCAATGCTTATCAATGGATTGAATCTTGATCGTTTCCCTTTTACTATCGCCTTGAATGTCCCATCGGTCTCAAAATCTCACATTATTTGCATTCCCTTCGTCAGCGCTAAGCTTTGGTGGCTCCTCTCCCGGAAAGTATAGTTCGGAAATGAGCGACGCTCACATGCCACCGCCAGAAGGTGATACATCAATTTCATAGTAGCACTCCAGCGTGCAGTGCCGTTCCTCCCTTGACAAATAATGGGATTTAGTTTGTGAGGACTCCCGGCCTTACAATATAAAGTCTTGTTCCTTACCGCACCCTAAAGCTAACTCGACTCAAGCGGAGTCGACCTATGAAGCGGCTTTTCTTTCACCCGTCTCGAGATATATGCGGACCTTCGGTTATTCTGATCGAACACGATAAGACTTGCTGCAGTATTTGGTCTTACGACAGTCATTTACGTAGCCCAAGCTGCACCTGAATCTTCATGGGAGGGCTGGGGTGGGTCAATTTACAACAACCGTTGGGCGTCAACGAACCACGCGATATCTTCCTCAAACATCAAGTCTCTCACAGAGCACTGCAAAATCACTTACGTCAATGGCACTAGTGCTACCCCAACAATATCACAGGGTATCGCCTATTATCCGACCTGGAACGGATCATTTGTCGCACTAGACTACAAGGACTGCAACGTCAAGTGGCAGATCAATGTCACTGCGGTCATCGAGGACTACGCCCCAATATCCGCAGAGCAGAGAGCTATCCTTCGTGCGGTATCCAGGACAAGCCCACAAATTGATGGCGACGTACTGTACTTTGGGAGTCAAACACACTCACTCATAGTCGCCGTCGACCTGCTGACCGGCAAGACGCTCGGGGTTACCCAGATTAACCCCCATCCTATGGCAATAGTTACCCTCAGTCCTACATTCTATAAAGGTCTCATTTTCGCTGGCGCTTCCAGCTCTGAAGAGACGGCCGCCGCTTTCATTCCAGGATACAACTGTTGTTCGTTTGTCGGTAATGTGGTAGCACTCAGATTCGACCACACAGGCAACTTCGCAACTGTCTGGAACCTGACCACTCTACCCCCCGGATCTGGAGAAGGCAATGGGACTTGGTCCGGTGCAGCAGTCTGGGGAAGTCAGCCATCCATTGATACCAGCCGGCACCAGGTTTTTTTTGCCACTGGCAACGTTTACAGTACCCCGGAAGAGTTCCTGAAGTGCGACGCCGTCAATGAGAATGCCATGTCGGGCAATGCCTCCTGTGTTCTTCCTCCGGATGTCTGGCAGGAGTCTATGCTTGCACTCGATATCTATTCCGGACAGCCAAAATGGGTTCGCCAGCTCTCGCCCTTGGATGCCTGGACGGTAGCGTGCGGTGTACCGGGTTTTTACCCTAATAACCAAGCTCTCTGCCCGCCACATCCAGGACCTGATGCGGACTTCGGTATGGCTCCGGCATTTGTATCGGGAAGCAGAGGCGCCCTTACACCGTCGGACGACGACGTGGTAACTCTTGGGCAGAAGAACGGTAACCTTTATGCCCTAGCTGCCGACAATGGCAGTGTCATGTGGTCCACCGTCACGAGCCCCGGCGGTTTTGCCGGAGGCCTA